ATAGTACGTATCGGTATTGCACCTAATACAAACATTTATGATTTCCCTGTAATTATTAGTCAAAAAAGAAACGTTAAAAAAAAACGACAAATAAAAACTATATCGAACATTATACTATTTATTCTTAAGATCATTTTGATATAACAAAGCATTCTACTTTTTATTTCGATAAAAGTTAACTCATGGCTGCCGCTGTTGAACAGCAACAGCCTTCTCGTCTTACTCCACCTTTGTCACCGTTATCACCTCCTCCTTCTTCACCAGCTACCATTCGATCGCCTTCTCCAATAGAGTTCGATGCGTTTCCACTAGTTAATGAAGACCCGCCTATCAGAGCCTTAACTGCTTCGCAATATTATCTTATTCATGAAACGTATTATACTACTCCATTACCTAATGATTTGTTTCCGTGGTTGCATGGTGTTGATGGCACAAATCCTATACAGAATAGCTTCTTCGGTCTTAGACTTCAAGAGGAGTGTCCAGTACCAAAACATCGTGGTGTCACTGTAGTGCAAGCAGAAGAAATGTTAAGATCTCAACTTGTAGGTTCTGTTATGCCAACTGATATATTAGATTACGGAGATCTTGAAGATCTTGACGAAGATTATTCTGCCAGAAGTTTTTTAAAAATAATGGATACTGAAGGAATTAATTTAAGGAATTTTAAGATTCAAGTAGTGAAATATGCTACGATTTCGGACATTATTATATATGGAGAGAATGGTTTGAACGAAAATGTATTAAATATCGCTAAGCAAATGGCATGGGCGCAACAGAATTTTAGAAAAGCAAACCCAAATATATTAGAATATGAAGTATTCGTGATAATTGGTATGGTTAATTTTAATTACTCATTAACGATCTGTATCATTTATTCATCATAATTTTAAATGGATTAAGAAATAATATGACATCATTAATAATTGGTAATGATTGTTATCTAGAGCCATTTTCCTTATTTGAAGAAGAATATCCAGAACTTGTTGCCATCGATAGCCAAGGCATTATACGTAATAAAATCGATTTTTCAGAGCAAGAAAGAGAAGAAATGCGAATACTCACTTCGGCTTCAGAAATTTCCACGAATGTTTGGGTAAATTATTCATATAACTTTTATTCCTCATATCATTCTCATATCATTATTATGTTTGATATTTTTTTTTTTTAAAAAAAAAAAAAATTCATACAATTCTTTATAGTTCATAATGTAATTCGTGTAATTTTTATTGATTAACTTTATGTAGTTGGGTAATACACAAGATGTTCCCGTTTCTAATGGATTAGACCCGTTAAATCCTGCTGATTCTGCCATTTCATTGATTGATGATAACCCGCATCAATTCTGTGTCTGCATAGAATCACATGATATTGCCGAAATACCAGATAAAGACACACTTTGCTTCATTACTGAGCAATTGGCACAAATACCACAATCAAGGATATCTATTGATGATATTGTTCATCTTGATTGCATATCTACTGGTCTTGGATTTAATACTCCGGATGTCTTTGATTTTGCAATTACAAGATTATTAGACCTCTGTGAATTCATCTCGAATCAAGCAAATGATTTTGATCACAAAATTTTGATTTATTGCACGGACGGTTACACAGAAACATCACTTTTTGCTCTCACGTACCTCATGTTTCACGAAAATTTGAGCCTTCCTCAAGCGTATTTGAAACTTCAAAAGATTCGTAGTTTTTTTGTATATTCACATGATGTGGATACATTAATGAGAATCGAGAGATGTATATTTGAGAGAAAAGGGATTACTGAAGATGAAACATTGAAACAAGAGGAATTTCCATGGTTCTATTCTAATATATTTTTTGAAGGAAGTTTCCCGAGCAGAATTTTACCATTTTTATATTTGGGCAATTTAAATCATGCTTGTAACGCAAGTATGTTAAAATCTCTTGGAATAACTCATGTCTTGTCTGTTGGAGAAGATTCTAGACTGGATAATAAAGATTTTGAAGTAATATACTTGAATAATTTATTTGATGATGGAATAGATAGCCTTTGGAATCATTTAGATTCTTGCGTTAATTTTATTGGTATGTATTGGAATATACAAGTTACATTACTGACTAATTTAAAATTCTTGTATTTGATTATATTTAATTATTTATTTAATTGTATTTGATTGTATTTGATAACTAATTTTCAAACTTATTTCATTTATAGAAAGAGCTCGTATTTTAAATGGTAAAATTCTTATCCATTGTCGTGTAGGAGTTTCCCGTTCCGCTACCATTACAATTGCATATATCATGCGACATTTGGGCTATTCTCTTATTTCTTCTTACCTTTTTGTTCGTGCTAGACGTCTCAATGTAATAATTCAACCTAATCTTAAGTTTATGTATGAACTTTTACAATATGAACAAAAATTAACTGGAAGGATGGGGATTAGCTGGCCATTGTTAGCTAAAAATATTCACACTTTAAATATGTGCTATGTTGGTTCTTAAAACCTTTTTTGAGAACAAAAATAAATTGTACAAAGTTAATATTAAAACATTTTGTTCATTATTATCATTATTACATATGAAATATATATTTATAGATAAATTTATATATTTTGTATTTGTACGTATTTTATATTTTGTACCCGTTTTTTTTTTTTTTGTGGGTTTAAAAAAATTAGGTCTTATTTTATAGGTAGGTATACTTAATAATATTAATTTTTTAATAAAGAATCTTCACATGACAATAATAAATATTAAACGTTAACGTCATTATATATATAAATTAGGGTTAGAGTATATCGATATAGGGTATGGATGTTTATATGATAAAATCAACCCCAAAATATAGAATTCAAAGTCCGTTTAAATTTCGTTTCTACTTACAACATATATCGACATATATCGATATATACTGTAATATTAAAATTATATTATCTCATGTTCTTTTACTAAATCTTGATTAGTGTCAGTAATATACATGATACATGACAAATCTGTACATTGATTGAAATCAAATGATTTTGGTATCACCTGATTCCTCATCGAACGATTTATCGTATGATACCAAAATCAATTTTTTTTTAAAAAACCTAACCTTTGAGAGGATATTATGACGAATCACAATGGCGTAATCATAATTGGATGAAACTTACATCATTCGATTTCTCTTTCAATTCTGATCACGAGAATTAATAGTTCGCGAAAAACTTCATTTGAACAAAAGAAAACAAAAAACAATTAGAGCAAAAAAAAATATCCAAATCGAAATTAGGATATTTTATTATCGTTTTTTAACTTAACTTTATTTTCAAAATTTTTTTTTTTTTTTTAACTTTCGAAAACTAATCAATTTTCGAATTAACTTAGGCGGGAAAAATAAATTTTTTTTTTGATGAATATGTAACACGTGTGTTCAAAGAAAGGTTTCATTATTAAATGAACAAAATAACAACCGACCCTCAAACTAACATGCAACTTAAATCATTAAAGAACTGTTCACTCCCATTTTATTTAATGAGAAAAAAAAACAAGCGAACTAAAAAAATTTTTTTTCCTACTACTACAATTAAGAACAGCAAAGGAGCGTCAAATAAAGGAACGTTTTTTTTTTTTTTTTCTGTTTTTTTTCTTTTTTTAATCTTAGTCCGCTCAATTGCATTTACATAAATATTCAAAACTTTTTTTTTTTTTGGTTTTTTTTTTTTTTTTTAAAAAAAAATCTCTTGCAAAAAAAGAGTAGGGATTGGTAATTAAAGGGAATTAAAGAATGAAAATATGGTACACCAAAAAGCAACATTGTGTACAATAGATTAATGTAAAAATAAAGAATGAAATTCCTCCGTTGATACAAAAATAATGCCAAATCTTAATTTTTCATTAATCTCCCAAACAAAATTGAACAAAAAAAAAATCTTTTATGCCTTCTTGCAAACTTTTTACGACTACTCGGAAATACCAAGCACTACACCCCAACATAATCAAAAATGGTGAAATAAAGAACCGCCACCAAATGTTTGCCTTTTTGTTTTACAAAAAAAAGTGTCATAAAGATTACTTTTGGAGAAAATATAGAACCCAACATAATAATTAGTCCCCAGTCTAATACTACTAATAAAAAAAAAAATAGAAAAAAAATAGCATAACAAGGGTTCCACAATTCAAAATCATATAACAGAATTGGGAATTTGTTATGTATTTTTATGAAAGAAGGAAAAAAAAATAAAACAAGAAAAAAAAAAGGTTAAGAGGGGTAAAAATTCATACAAAAAAATGTACAAACGAAAGAGGGTATAAAAAGAAAATCTAAGCAATTAGATTAAATAGGGGAGATGTAAATGCAGAACATATTTACAAATAAAATCTTTTCCAATTTATATAAACCCAGTATGTAAAATGAATATATATATGTTCTCTCAATTAGCTTGATACCCTGATCACGAGCAAGTGTCCAAATAATTAACGGAAAGAAATGTAAGAATAAAGTGTTTATGTAGATAATGGATGGCACCTTTTTTTCATTTTACGAGAAAACTGGATAAGGGTATCATTAATTATGGGTTTTTTGTACAACATTAGAACCCGAGTGTCCAATACGATAAAGAAAAAGAAAAAGACTAGTAGAAATATGTCTATGCAAATATAAAGAAAACCATAAAAATTGGGGGAATAGTATGTTGGGTCATTATTAGGGTTGTAGTAATAAAGCAAAAAAAAAAATGAATTATTATAACAAGGAAAAAAAAAAGAAAACATGCAATAAAAAATGTACAGTGCAGAAAAGAGAAATGCAAAATTGATAAGAAAATATAATAACAGAAGGGGAGTGCCACACGTCTAGAAAAAAATGCAATTAATCTTTTTTTTTAAAATTGTTGATATTGAATCGACGCCAAACTTTACTCTTTTCGAGAAAATCCAATTCAATACGCCAAATAAGGAAATGGAAGAAAATCTTTTCCCGCTCTCTAGACACATTAAAGTTCTATAAAAGACTCCGACTATCTGTCTCCACACTTTTTCTTTTATTGCCCATGAATTTTTAACAAAGTTCTTAAACTTTCCGAAATTTCGGTTAACGACAATCCATCTCTGGTAGGATAAACTTGAGTAGGATTATGAGAAGTGGCCATACGTTCGGGAACCATGTATGCAGAGGATGAATTATATTGACGATCAGATAAGATACGTAGAAGTCCAGAAGACTCTTGTTTTCGTACAGGATAAAATCTATCAGAATATCTAACGGCATCAGGTTCTACATCATCCATAGTGAACATATCATCATCAGAGGAATTGCCAGAGGACAAAGAAGGAGACGGAACCCTGGATGGGGTGAAAACTGGCAAGATAGCATTGGGAGTCGTTGGACTAGATTCCTTACTGGGAGGTTTACTAAGGAAAGATGGTAAAGGTAAATCACTAGGAGCAGGAGAATTATGGAAGGTAGGACCAGCATAAAGCTTTGATGCCATGAGTCTATCCGGAGAAGTAGATGGCCTACGATATGCCGGAGGAGTGGTTGATAACATGGAAAAATTAACAGCATCATGACTTGCAAAGGAAGCAACATGACTTTGCAATTCGATAGCTGTACTGGATTGACGGCGAGGAGCATTTTCCGGAATAAATGGAGCATTAGTAGAGAGAAAGATATCCGAACGTCTTTTATGGTTTTTGTTCAAAGACTTGTCAAAATTACTGTAATATAAATAAAGTAATTATTAGTTAGTAATGATGATATAATTTATATGATAATAATATAATTTATAATATATATGTAATATATAATATATATATGTAATATAATTATAATTTTAAAATATAATAATAAAATAATAATATAATAATATATTATAATAATATTAATAATATTAATGATATAAATAGTAAAAATAAATACCTTTTAATATGGGCGTTATTGACAGAAGGTTCATTATCATCATGTTTACTACACATTTCTTCTTCAAGAGCAAGAATCGCGTTAGAATAGTTGAGAGGGGGAAAATAAAAGGCGTTGTTCGTTTGCTGAGGAGGTACAGATAAACAAGCAGGGTCGATCTTTGGCGAATAAGATAACGACTTCATAGATTGATTTAATAAAATACTATTTACATCAGATTCATTATTAGAATCTTGTTGTTGCTGTTGTTGTTGTTGATGATGAGAATTATTACAAGATTCAATAACTTGTAAAACCCCAGACATGGATTTTACATCTTTACGCCGTTGAGAACATTTAGATTTTGTAGGGGAGGCATCAGAACGACGACGTTCTTTAGAATAATCACCAACCGCAGAAGGAAGTTGATAATCTTGTTCTTCACGAGTAACATCAAGAAAAGTTTTAGAAGAAGTAACATTATTATTAGAAGATTTTACAAAATCGGTAGCAGATTGAGGTCTTTTGAGGATTGTGACTTGAGGGCCATTTCTAAATTTATCTTCACCGATAGAATCACTATGATTGTGCCTTCTTGATGGACGCCTTTCACTTGACCTTCTAACTACAGGTTTATTAGTATCGATGGAATTATAAGCCGACAAATAAGAATCATCAATAGCACCAGAATAATTAGTCAAATTATTCGTAAAAGAGAAGTCGGGTAATTTAGAATCTCCACGAAAAGAATCGAAATTATCAACACGATTAAAATTAGATTTTGAATTAAGACGGGAAGAATTAAAGCAATCACTGGCCGAGACAGAAACCACAGGCACAGAGCTCTCCTTTGATTGATTGGAAGAATTAGAAGAATTGGACGAATTGGAAGAACTGGAAGAACTGGAAGAATTGGACGAATTATGAAGAGGATGACCACGTTTCCCTTTATTTATTGATTTTGATCTTTGATGTCTTGCTTCCGGTTTATGTGGCTTTAATAATTGTTTTTGTTGTTGTAAGTGGTGGTGTTCGAGCCTGCTCTGTACCACTGGAGCAGAGAATATAGTTGTTGTATTGTTATCCATTGTCCTTATTTGATTAAAATTTTTTTTTTTTTTTTTTTTTTAAATGAAAATTAAATGTCTTTATGTAAGCCAATGCAATAATAGTTTTTGTCACGAAAATGGTTTTTTTGGTCGATTGAATGGAAGCAAGGTGAACTAATAAAGCAATCGCAAGGGAAAGAAAAAAATAAAATAAAATAACAGTTAGTTAATTTATTTTTATTTTTATTTTTTAAAAAAAAATAAAGTTTCAAAACATATTATTAATAGATAAATAATAAATAAATAAAATAAAAAAATAAAAACCTGATTTCGAAAGGTTAAAGTGTACAAATAGGAGTAGAGATTCTCTGGCACTGTGGTATAGTTGATAATAACGATATGTAGTGAGGTATCCAAGTAAAGTCAGAAGAAACTCTCAGTAAATAAAAGTAGGAAATAAGAAGAATTGAGATGCCGACAATAGAAGATATTATGGAACGGTTTTTTGATATAAGAAAGTTTTTTTCGAAAGGTGAGTAAAGAGTATTGAGAAATAGAAAATGGAAAGCTTTTATTTTCTCCAGCGTGGAAAGTTTTTATTTTAGATATTTGTCTTTTGGATTGATCCGACACTCAAGTCGAGAGTTGCTACACGGAGAACAGGCAAATATATATATATATATATATTTTTTTTTTTTATAAATTCTAAGTATATAAGTAAGCGGTGGCGAAAGAAAAAGAAAAGGGGAGGAACAAAAGTTTGGATGAAAGGGATTATAAGCAGAAATGAAAGGAAATGTTAAGCACAAAAAGGGGAGAATGATGCAGAGTGTAACATACACAAAGAATACAATATGATAAGATACAATACAAGTATATTTTATTAGATAAAAAATCACAGTTTCACATAAGCAACATAACCGCTATTTAAGAATAATTTATCATCAATGATAATATATAAATAAAAATAATATAAAGATAATATAAAACCTATTTTTAAAAAAAAGTAACCTGTAACATTTCAAGAGTAAACTTGTATAAAATATGTTATAAGATTGAGCCGAGGTATCACCGAAGTATCACCAAAAATATCGTCATAAGTTTTTTTTCAGAAAGTGACAATTGCACAATTTCACTGTTGAAGTAGATATTAAACCAACGGAAATTTATATAAGGTATTCATTTATGTAAGTTACCCAAGGTGAGTAAGCAAGTTGAGTAATTGAGTAATTGAGTAAATGAGTAAATGAGTAATTGAGTAATTGAGTAAAATGAGTTTAGAATTATTTGAAAAGCCGATCACACATTGTAAAGTCGGGGTCCAAAAAGAAATATGAGAAAAATTTTTAGTTCTTTCTTTTTTATTTTAGGGCGTACATAATTCGAAAAGGAATAAAGCATAAAAAAAAAAAAAAAAAAGACGGGTTATATATATATACCATTAAAACGAAACGGTTACACATCATATTTCCATAAAAAACCCCGAATTTTCTTTATCTTTTTATACCGAAAAAATACTTGAAGGATTAAAATTTTTAATGTTAGCATTACCGACTTTACTATTTTTCCGGCATCCGAGATATTGGTTTCAAGAAAAACCATTGATACCGAGATAGAATGAACCGTTTTAAAGTACGTAGTAAATAACAAGAATAATAAATTTTTTTTTTAAAAAAATAATTTAAAAAATGTATATATATATTATATATATATATTAAAGTATTTTAGGAGATAATTTTTTTTTTTTAAAAAAAAAAAAATCCAATACATTAATATATTAAAATATTAAATGTATGTTTAAATAGTACCAAGGGGTTAGTTTCAAGAAGTAGAAAGACCAGCATATTGTACTTTATATGAATAAGGCACGTTTTTTACGCAATTTTCTTTATAATAAAAAGAAAAATGCAATCATCACGAGCCAAAGTACGAAATAGTACCAAAATTCTTCCCAATAGTAGATCATCGGGGTACAAACAGTGCCAAAATCCTAGAAGCTTGTATTAATATATCATGTTATTGTCGATTTTTTTTTTAATAAATTACAATTTTAGGTTCATACAAGGGAACGTTAGGTTATCTGTGACGAAAGTGGCAAGAAGGAATCTCTTCTTTAGAAGGAAAGAGGCGGAGCAATCATGAACAATGATGTCGCGACCCATACATGTAATAACCAGTAATCAGAACCTATTTACCTCATTAATGTTCAACGAAAAACAATATACTTGGACACTAATCAACAATCTCATCATGACCGTATTCAGTGTTTAAAAATTTCATCAATATCGATATAATTTTTGATTTTGCATAAATTATACATAAACATAAAACCTAAATAGTCATGCTAACGGCCGTGCCAATGTCAATCCAATAATAGGTCAATGTTCAGTAGCTGATAGTAATGACAACAGTATATACAATATGCAGTATAATGTGTTATAATGTTCAGTATAGTGTTCAGTATAATGTTCAGTATAATGTTTTCAGTATAATTTTCAGTATAATGTTCAGTATAATGGCAACAATATATATATAGTGACAACAGTAGTGACAACAGCCAATGGCGGTAGTGTTAATGTTTATTCATTTAACGTTTTTAATTATTCAAATAAAATCAAATTAATCCATTATCGAGAATTATCTTTATTATCATTAATTATCATTTATAATTAGTATAATTAGTATAATTAGATAATTAGTGGTTTATAATTATCGATAATAATTTATCGATATCGATATCATTATCATTAAATTAATTCCTTTTGAATTTAAAAAAGCCCACCCTAGGTCTTGTGCACAAAACATAACCGCATAAAGAAGATCAACTAGAAAGTGTCGAATAATCAAATAATTATAATGGATCGTATCTTTTCGGTATCTTTGCGTAATTTCACTGGATTGTGTGAATATTTGCAGAGAATCCAACCAGACCAACTTATTATTCTTTTAATTTTTTTTATTTTTTCACACACATCATCATTGGCCTAGACTCAAAGTATACAACTCATCCAACAAAGGAATTACTCATTAGATTCAATTGCTGGCAAAGATCAGCATTTAAATATTCGTCAATCAAAAAAAAAAAAAAATAATAATAATAAAAAAATAAAAAAAATAAAAAAAAAAATCAATCAATCAATCAATCGATCAACTATCCAACTAACATATCGAAACATGCTGGAGAACACGTGCATACATTAACATATCGATATTTTCAACCTAAAATTACAGCCGTAGAGTTCTTTTTTTATATTTTTTTGAAAAGCAACATAAATTGAACCAAACTTATTATGGTAAAGACTCAACCATTGTGGGTTAGACATTGCGGGTTAGAGGTTGAATGAACCTTTCTCAACAAACAAACCAAAGAACGAGGGTGACAATTAAAAAAAGTGGATTGTGGGGGCGGTGAATAATTTTCTACATTTGGTTAAATTGACCATAAAAAGTAACATTTAAGATTTGTTTCACAAAAAAAACATCGAACCCTATCCTGTATTCATTCTTGATTTTTTTTATCACAGTCATTACTGCATTATGAATTTTATGTCACTGTACCCATCGTACGTTATTATTATCCATCGTATCTGGGGTTAATCTGTTACTTATCAAATCTAAATCTCTTGAATATCTCTCGATAAAAGGTATGTAGTAGAGTCGATAAAAATATATATTATATCTGATATAAATATCGATAATTGATATTAATATCGATAATTGATATTTAATACGTATCGATATTTGATATTAATTTTATTAATATTATACAGTTTTGATTAATTAATAATATTATTAGTAATTATCCTAATATTATCCTATATTAATTATTAGTAATGATCCCAATAGTAATTATTCTACGTACGTATACGTATAATATTAATAGTAATAGGTAACACCAATGATAGCTATTCTAATACTAATAATAGCTATTTTTATTGTAATTTTATTGTAATTTTTATTGCAAGTTATTCTAAATGTAGATATTTATTCTATATAAAATAATTTTGATAAAGATACATTTTAGCGTTTCGGGTCAGTGCGAAAGAGTTTATAGATTGATTATTATCGGATAAATACTTTATATCGCGTGGTTCCGATTTATCGGGTGTCACCCTTTTACTTCTTTTTTACTTCTTTTACTAATTTTACTCATTTTACCTCATTTATTTCTTTTTCTTTTATTCCGATTTAAAAAAAAAAAAAAAAAAAAAGATTTCCGTAATTTTAAAGGTTAAAATTTCACCAAACCAATTCAATCTAGTCTTTATGATGACCATTTACGTACATCGAATATCAATTCGAGTGACACTAATAGCCTTTTTACTAATAATAATGCTTACGGCGCAACTTTATCTAATGTCGGAACACAGGTACGTAAGTAAGTACGTACATGGATAGACAGTATTTACAGAGTATTTACAGTAGTGCTTGTAGCATAAACTATATAACAATAACGGTAAACATTTAATATTTTAACCTAGACGGCGTAATTTACGCCGACCCTACCATAATTGTAAAACTGGTTAATTTATGCTTCACCCCGATGAGAAATTTCCCGCCAAAATCCCGTTACCCCAACTGATTAAATCACATCCGGAAGGCACCGAATGTTTGTTATTTACAGTATTAATAAATGATTGAATAACGCTAACTTTTTTTTGCTACGAAATACAAAAAGGATATTTTTTAAAAAAAATATATATATGTACGTATGTAGTATGTACATATTGATATATATATATATACATATATACATACATACATATATATATATATATATATGTATCAGATATATATATATCTGATATATATATATATATATATATATATATATATATATCTGATACATATATAATCACTTTAAATTTCTAATAAATAAATCCACAAGCAAATTGTAAATTGTAAATTCAAAGTAAGTAAAAGTAAAAAAATTCATAGTAAAAGTAAAATCTACAAATAAATAAAATAAAAATATATACATAAAATTCAAAAGTAAAATTTTAACAATATGTCGCCATCAAGTTCTATTCTTTTTCTGTACAAGGAAATAAGTAAACAAAATCGACGTTTATAAAAAAACAAATATTTATCCGAAAATAGACTCTTGAAAACATAAACGTTCAATGTATCCTTTCTCAAACAAGAGTCTTTCATGAATATAAATAAGCATGCAAATCTTGTTTAACGTGTGTGCCACTCGAAGCATGTTCGTGTGAACCATAAATAATAAAGTGGTGTTATTATTTGTCAAATATTTGTAACATAAATATTCATAAAATACTGTGGCTTTTAAAAAAAAACTTATCTTGTTATTGCCTAGCTATACAGCAATAGAACGCAATAGAACGCTAACGTCATTTGTATTTATTTGGAATAACATTTTGGTCACATTTTTTGCTTGATTAGAAATCTACGAATTCTTTTTAAAATCGTGGACTTTAAAAAAAGAATCCTTTTTAATCTTATAACAATATATAGTGATTTACTAATTAAGTAAAATCCGGTTTTTAACCTGTCTGTAATAAAAATTTCCCTCTCTTATTGGCTAACAAGGGTCAAACCCTATCTCCCCACAAAACCAATTAAATTCCATTCTCTTGTTACCAATTGTGATTTTCTTTTTATTTTCTACGTGGCTCTGCTCAAATCTTAATCTCCTGTTACAAAAATAATATAATTAGCGTTAGGCTTATCATTATCAATATATCTTATGACGTAGTCGTCGTCTTTAATGCTTATGGCTTTTCTTGATTTGGTAATATTAATGATTTGCAATTATTATACCCATTTACGTACATACGTACATATCAACGTACATACGTATTGATCTATACTTAACTGTTTAAGTACACGTATATACGTACTTAACTGTTTAAGTACACGTATATACGTACTTTAACTGTTTAAGTACACGTATATACTTAAACTGTTAAGTACACGTATATACCTACCTACCTAATCTACGCAATCTACGTACCCACCTACCTACGCACGATTTGTCGCGCAGATCACGTGGATAAAATTTTTTATTATAGATCAGATGATCACCACACTTTTAATAATCAGTTTAGTTTAATTTGAAGGTAAAAAGGTTTGCTTATTAAATTCCAAAGTTTACCAACTTTTTTACGATTTACATATTTGTTTATTAGTGACGCCCCCTAAAATTTTTGAGAAGAACCTTGAAATGCTAGGTAATAAGCAAACCTTTACCCCAAAATTAATCCAACAACTCCTTTTTACCAAATAAGGGTCGGGAAGCATTTTTGACTCAAATTTTTTTAATATAAAATTTAAGTGCGACAATCATTTGACTCGAATAAAATTTTACGTGTGACGCTATATAAAAGTACGTACTTACTATTAGCGTTATAATATTATCGTTACTCATTACGTATTATTTGTCTGCAGAATCATCCGACTAAGTAAGTACTCCGACACTAATAGTAAGTCTAAGCCCCCTTCAATAAGTTCAATAAGTTCAATAAGTACGTACGTACGTACAAATAATATTTTTATAAATCTTATATAAATTGCATGAATTGAGTAATAAATTGTAATAACTAGTATAAATGAACAATAATAGTTAAATAAATGAAACGATCATCAACCAATAACATTTTTGATGTTATATTTAGTTTCATTTCGGTTATACGATGTTAATGCAAACATCGAAACAAACATATTTAAAAATAAAAATTCTTTAACCCATACGTTCATTCAATTTGAGTTTCACTTTTTTTTTTTTTTTTGTACAATATAAAGTTTTATGTTATATTACTTCATTTATTTTTGTGAGGCTTATACGTATCACAATTTTTTAATAAAATTGAATCTAGGTCTTAAGTTTTAAAGAATTTTATTAACCTTCTCAGAACTCACATACGTACTCACATACGTACGTATTAGATATTATTGTTACCAAGTTTTTTCACGTCAGATGTTTCTTTTTTCCTTGCAGATCTCTAATTCGTGTCAAATACGTACATACTTACTATACTTATTATTATATTTGCATATATATATCATTATAATATAGTTCACCATTAACAACTTTTCCAGGTGGGAATTTCGCATTTATTTTGTACATATATGCTTACTTATTTGCCTTCATTATCTCCCGCATTCTTGTTAACAACGTATGTGTTTATCGAAACGCATATAATGTTGTAAATACAAAAAAATTTAATTACTACGTATAAGGTTTTTTATTCAACAAAAACGCATTGTATTGTACATACGTACATAACGTACATTCGTATCAATATACTCTATACGTCTGTATACGTATTAGTATATACGTACGTACCACTGTGCTTTTTTGATTTTAAATTAAAGTATATGCTAGCTTTATTTAAATCATTGATTATTATTAGATACAAGCTATAGGTTGTGCTTTAATACTGTATTATTTATTATTGTATACTTATTACTGTATACTTATTAGTTTTATTATTAATGAATGCGTTAAAAAATTGTCACGATTATTAAATTAAATGCTAAAACCATATTTGCATCTTTCAATTAATGAATGTAGTGAATGGTTTGAGTATTGCAAATAAAAACATCAATTATTAATTTATATTAATAATTTATATTACTTTATAATGATTTATAATAATTTGTAATCTTGTTGCATTTTTATAGTATCAATAATCCAAGGAAATTTAACTACTAAAAATGGAAGTATTTAAATGATTCATTCGCGTTTTTAATGCTTTAAAATATGTGATTATTTTTAAAAAATCTTTCACACTGTATGACGATAACCAATTATTCATTTTATTGTTTCATCACTTGACATCGTTTTGTTTGTAACCATGATCACTTGATCACTTTCACTCCTGGGTAACTTTCTTGGGATACGGTCTTGAGAAATTCTATAAATTTCTTTGGGGTTAATGTGAACACACGTAACTATTTATATATCACATGATATCTTGAGATCTATCACTATATATATTGATAGATATATATATATATATCATTTCTACGTATATAATTTCAAAATTTAGCGCATAACGATAAATAATATAAATACATTAAATTTTATTTTTCCTTCACCTTTTTTTTTGGTTAGTATACGTACTTGTACAATTTTTCAAGTCGCGATATATACAAGATATGCTGATGAGATGATCTGATTTAACGTTAACGATAATACCCGATACTATATCGATATGATATAATATCTGTAATCTAACTATTCTTATTCATTGTCATACGTTGATTCTATTTGGAAAGTAATGACGTAGTTGGCACGAAAAGTTAACAATATCTAACTTTTTGATTCTGCTCACCCAAATATTGCTCTGTGTATGTGGAAATTCCCAATTTTTTTTCTTTATTAAAATTTTCTATGTTCACTATTTACTGTATATTTGCTAATCTGAAAATATTGTAAATAATAGGGTTTAATTATATATTTTTAGTCAAGTCTAATTATTTTAATGTAAAATGTGATATCTTGGATTGTTTGACAGCTTAGACTTTTAACCATCGCTTTTTCCATTATTTTATATTTGAGTGCATTTGAAATGCATCGTGAATCTCGGGTTAAAATTTCCGATTATATGATTTTTTTTTTTAATCATCATATATAAATACCTGATGCACTTTAGTATTAATCAGTATAATCGGAAATTTTGCCCGAGATTCGCGATGCATAAAATATGCTCTCCCGATGCACTTCAAATGTACCCCCGACAATAAAAATGTTGTAAATCTCGGTGGAATTATGTTCTTCAATCAAAAAAAAATAATAGTAATTTTGACTAATTTCAACGCTTTCTTTTTAAGTGACTACTTATACGTATTTCGGCGAATTTCGACGAGTAAATGACTAACTATCTAAGTGCTAAATGAGTTTCAACAATTATCTAAGTGCTAAATGAATTTCAACAACTATCTAAGTGCTAAATTAATTTCAACTAAGTGCTAAATGAACTTCGTCAAAGTACATTACTACTGAAGGTATTGATGTCTCTCTTCTGCAAGTATTAAAATTTTAGATTATACTAATACCGCAAAAAGAAAAACCTGGTGTCGGATTTTTCACTTTACTATATATCAACTTGCCGGCTCCTAAAGAATATAATTTGCAAACTCATGTGATATTCTTGCCCAAACTATCGTAATTTTATTTTATTTTTAAATGATAAATAATTAAAATTTTCGAGTTCTTGACTTTAGGAATCGGGTAGAACAACTTCTTGTTGTTCACAACTTGCTAGTAATGTTTGTATAAGAAATTGTAATTCATACGTTTGGTCAAGCAATTCCTTTAGATGGTTTTTTTGTGTTTCTGATTCCTATGATAATTTATCATCGGTGTTAAGAATCTATACATCAATAAAGAAAAAAAAATAATAATAATCCTTCAAATATACTTGTAAAAGTGAATCACGCGTTTCAATTAAACCTTTTATTTCAGGATCTTTCTTCGGTTCACTTAGTTCCATATTATTTTCCTTTTAAATATTTTAAAAGAATTATAAATTTTTTTTTTTTTTTTTTAAAAAAAAAAAAAAGAATGGATTACCGTTGAAGTTTCTTCTTTTTTCTTAGTCCAAATAACATCAATCTGTCCTATTATATTATTCAATTCATCACTAACATTTTTATATTTATTTTGACTTTCGGTTACTTTTTGTCGAATGTCTTCTGTATTTTCGCTTGAAGAGAAGGTTGCCAATGTGGTAAATATTTCTTCCACTGTATTAATTAATTTGTTAAGAGTTAGTTGTCCATTAATGGCTAAACCTTCAAGTTGTGTCGGTTTTCTGCTCGTTATTACATTACTAATATCTGTCATATTTCCTAAACTAAATAACTCTTAACACAATATAAAAAATATTTGAAACTAAAAAAAAAATTAACGTTTAAAAAATTCTTATTGTTATCGGTATCGGTATCTGATTAAATTTATCACATTATTCAAGTTCACAACCAATCAAATTATTCCTATATCAAGATGTAAATTGTTAGCGTTAGAAAAATACGTAGAAATTTTATACGCATGAATTTTCTTTCTATTAATGATTTCTATAAAAAATAAATTCTATTGTATTAAAAAAAAAGCAATTTTCAAATACGTATGTTTATTTATCTAAAAAAAATTTTTAACTACAATAATATTGTTAATGTTGAAACCAAAAAATATTATATAAGGATATAATTTCAAATAAATATTGTATAATACTGCAATTATCTTAATTACTTTAGAAAGAAAATACATAGTTAAAAAACTTTTTATACATAAAAATGTTTGATATTTTAATATCTAACCATTTATATTGGCCATAAAATCAAAATTCCAAAATATTGTAATAATGATAACAAAAAAAAAAAAGGGTTATAATGTCTGTAATTTCAAAATTTTAATAATATTGACTACGTATGGCATTGATTATTATAATATTGAAAAAAGAAATCGATGATGACATCGAAAAAAATACTATATCTGATATCAGACATAGTGATAATATTTTTTTAAAAAAACTTGACAGAGTATGCCGTTACATCTTTATTGTTTCATCAATGTTTTTATAATTTTACAAATTCAGAGTTCATACATACAGATGCTGACTTCATTCAATTGCCTCTAACAGTGCCCAGATGTACTTTGCTGCATCATTTCACATGTTATGATTGAAGTCAACACTTGCAATCAGGGTTTAGTTAACAGAGCTTTAAACTGTTTTGATTAGTAAAAAGATTTAGAATCTCATTATCTGTATCTACGTTTAATTATATTAATTTTACTATTTTTAACTAACTGTGTTCTCTGTTTCTCTTACCTTTTTATATATACAACAATTATTAATATTGGTTAAAACAAGTTAGTAATCTTTAGGATCTTTTAGTTTATAGTGTATTTATTATTTTTAATTAAGGTATTCTGATTATAATATATATTTCAAGTTAGTTTTTTTAAGTTTGTTATTACTGCTAATATAATTAGTATACTAACTTATATCTTAAGTTAAACTTTTCTAAATTATTGTTATTACTTTTATTACAAACCATCTTAAGTTTTAATATTATTATAAGTATTAATATTCTTATAAATATTACTTATAATAATAGAATTTAAATTTTATTTTATGATTATTCAAAACAATTCTAACTATATTTAGAGATTTATACTAATTTTAATAATATACTACTATATAATATTTATTCTTAGTATATAATCTATTTTATTTAAAAAAATTCTGATTATATTTAAGAAATTACACTGATCTTAGTAATATTATACTATTATAAATATTATAAAATATAGATCCTAAATTTGTTATTGATTTTTATATAAATATGATTAGAATCTGATTTGATATTTTTAAACATGTTTCAAAATATGAAACAACCTTTATCTATTAATTTTTTTGTAATCTTTTTTTATACTTCTAATATTGGTAAAATCAATTCTTTGTTACAGACTATTTTTATATTCATTGTTTTTTTTACTATTTTAGTCTTGGTTATTTTAAAGATTATTCTTTTACTCAATTCTTATTTCTTTATTTCAAATTAGAATTTATTCTTTTAAACAAATGTCTTACAAATTGAATGTAAAAATGTTAGCCTTACTTTATTTGAAGATATATAAATGTTAGTATGCTACTCTTTTCTTAAGAACTTATAAACTTCTTGTAACTAGAACTTTCTGTAATACCACTATTACACATAATGCCTTCATTTTACAATTAAGTTTTCTTCTGAGAATTTCCATCTAATAGTTACAAAAACAAAACTATTTGCCTTCAACCTGTCTCAAACTGTCGACCTTGTCTGTAAAAGTTTGAAAGCTTAACCGCTAAGTTACGAAATCCAAACCCAATATAGTGATGATATTGAAAAACGAATCGATGATGATAGTATTAGATAAATTTATTAGAAAGTTTAGATACATTGAACTAATTTCAAATATCTGACAAACAATTTCAAAATATTTAAAGTTCTTTTTTTTTTTACTTATATCCATTATTATCCTTAATTCTTGTGAAAATAAACAAGTAAATATTTATTTTATATTTTTTTCTACACTACATTATACATATGGATAAATATTTTTATGGTAGCATTAATAATAAACAGATTCTAAGTTAAAATTATTAATTAAATTATATTAAACAATTATTACATAATAGCTAGAGAGTAATAACATCGATTAAAAAAGACGCATTATTAAAAGACGCATTATTAAAAGACAACAATTAGAATTTATGCGATAACGCTAAGATCAACCAATCAAATTGCAATAATTAAGAAACGATCCAACCTTCTGCCTATGACATGCTAAATCCGGATTTTAATATATAATTAAACGTTTAATCGATATACGTACTGAATTAACCCTGCTTTAGTAATACTCAACGAGTATATACAAACTTTACTTTTCGCGTATATTATTATGAATATTTTAACTACTTTAAAGAATTTCATAAGACCAACTCCTGCTACTTTACCAAGAACTCAGATCTCCACTTCTGATCAAATTCATCGTCCTACGGCTGGCGCTTTTGATACACAACACGCGAGTCTTGACACTTCTGCCTTCGTTTATACGTGGAGTGACAAAGTAATTGAAATCCGTTATAAACGAGATTTCAAATTATATGATACTTTTGATTTGAGGAAATATAATTATGAACAAAAATGTAATCCACTAAGGTCGAGAGACGAAGGATACCTCCGTGAGATTGTGAAAGTAACTGATTGCATTGTTGGAACAAAGTGTCTATTAATATGTACGCGGACCACCCAATCAGAATATAGATTTCTTCTATACGATTTATATGAGAGGATCTCTCATATTTTACCCATGAATTTGGACAAGTTGATTCCTACAATAAATGATGTGGTTTTTTCTCAAGAGATCTTACATAGTGTAAGTGAATAAATTTATATTGGACGATTATTATAATTAAATTTTATTTAGTATTAATTTTTTTTCATTCAGGATGATGAAAATCAAAAATTAAGACAAGCGGGTACAACTGCATCAGTATCTTATCTAATTGTTATTGCGTCTGCTATTGGAATATCTTTATATCGATTATTACCACCTACAAAAGAATTTTGTTCAAAATTTCGTGTGATTGAAGAACATTATCAACAATTATATACTAGAGAACCTGTATCAGCTGTGAATGTATACATATCATCTCATCAATTTAATGGTACAAATGGTATTCCATTCATAATTGCAGGTGGTATGCGAGGACTTATCGAAATTTTTAGTTACGATTTTGATCTAAAAATACAAGAGATTCAATCTATAGATCCACCAATTTCATTAGCTCCAGTTACTCATATAATTTCACGTCCTCCTCATGCTGATTATGAAGGTTTAATTATTGTTGGACATGGTGGTCTTGATCCTGCATTAAATAATGATTTCATAGAACAAATTGATCCAAAACCTATGATTAGATTTTTCAAAACATCTTTTGGTATTGGTCATCAATCATGTCAAGAATTTGATCAAAGTTATGAAGGTCGTCCGGATTCTAATGTTATTAAAGGAAGAATTCTTGCTATTACTTCTGCTGCTGATGGTATTGATTATATCTTATGCGTCGCGTTGGAATCCGTTTACATGGAAAAAGATTCCAAAGATGGTCTTGAACTTGCCATATTTAAAGTTGAGGGTGCTCAAACAATTTCACCTATATGTTGGGAAAATATTTCTATGTTATGCAATTCATTACCTGTATTGGATATTGATGCTCCTATACGTTATGCTAAGTGTGAAATTCTTTTACCAGATAGAACTGTCCTTTTTGATCCCAACATTCAATCACAATATGAAATGCCTTATGATTTGAAACCATCATTTTCCGAATGGCTTGACGATACTGAGTTTAAAAAATATACTCCTTATTCCTCAATTACATTTAGTGCTATTCGATCTCGACGTAATCAATTGGATGGTGAACTCATTTTTGACATGTTACTTCGATTTGTAAATATTGATCCAGAGACATATCCTCCACCAAATACAGAAGCATTAAAGATTTTATTTGATGATATATTTAAAAGCAATGATATTGACATGTTAAGAAAACATTGCCTTGTATATTATCTTTTGAAAGATTGGCAAGCTTTCAGCAAAAGGTATCAAAAATATGCAACAAAATATTTGATACCACCAAATTTCTTGTGTCTCATGGACGGTTATTGGGCTTTAGATCATTGTCAATTTGCTGAAGCTATAAGATTTTTAACAGAACCAACAGTTACTGTGGATTGGGATATAAAGGTTATGCGGGTGTTATTGAAAAATGTGGGCCCACATGATGCGTTGAAATATGCAAATCTTAACAATATTCAAGAAAGTTCACCAGAAAATATAGAAATTTATATGGAAATTCTATTACAATGTGATATATGTGAAGCCTTACTTTTTCAAGTGCGTATACTATAATATACTGTAAAACTGCGAAATAACGAGGATAGATGTTATTTCGAAAATTGGATTCTTAAAAATATCGTGCTTGGTTTCGAAATATTGCCTGTGGGCGTCCGAAACAACGCACATCTCACATAATACCTCAATGGATTTATCATATAGTAATTAGGTTTGGAGATTGATCGTTTATCTCGAAAAAAAAAAATAATAATATGAAATAACGCGCAGGTGGGCGTTATTTCGCGGTTTTACGGCAATATTTTATTATTTACACTCGTCTAACTTCTGAAATTTTGATAGCGACAACATAGGACTCATGCTGAAGATTTTACGCTATTCAAAAAGCTACTGGACTTTTGTTTTCTTCCGAAACCCGATGCTGATAGATTAAATATATT